GTGGTCTCCTGGTGGAGGACTGGCTGTTCCTTACTCTGCCTCATCATGTCAGAGAGCACCTGAGCGGTTCTTCTTCAACAGATGATGCCTATTCAAAGGATCCACCGAAGTCTGACATTTTCCCCTACTTCTCTCCAACACAGTGGAGCTTCTCTGCAGCTCTGGAGTCACAAATATAATGAACATATAGCAGAGACCTAACACTAGTAAGACATTACTCTGTCATTTTATCTCTTTTTTATCTAAATAAAATGACCACGAATTATTTTATTATTTTAGTAAATACACTGTCTAATTAAGAAATATTTCTGTTGACTTTCAAAATGCCACCGCCGTTTTTCTGTTGCTTTGCGTTCCCTTTGTTTTTTATGCATTTCATTTTGTCTAGCAGGTGTTCAATGTTTCCACTAGGGGGCAGTCAATAGCAACATTTCTGTGTACTCAACGCCACCAGAGTCAGTGTTCCCAAACCTTTTTTTGAACAACATATATTTTACATTGGAGATTACCTGTCATTGTCACAGTGATAAACAAAGACCATGTATTAGCAGGGAATTAAGGTTTTAAAGGTGCTTTTACATATAAATAACGAACTTTATAAATGTCTCGTCAAAATAAAGGAAATAACTTCTCATCTATGCACCAACGAAATTGTGGCCACCAATACATGTTTCACTGAGAATACTTTAAAAGCAAAATTAATGTCAAATAAACAAAAATAAATACATTTAAACAATATATTACAGTCTGAATTGTCTCGTCCCGCTTTTTTGAACGGCGTTAGACTGCGGAACAGCTTTCGACCAATGAATCAATGCTTTTGCTAATAGTCATTCAACTTCGCCAATCAGCTCAACGAACATCAGAGAAGGCGGGACTTCCGGTTAGTGGTATAAACCAACTGAGGCCTTTCCATGCGGTTGTGATCTCAGGCTGGACGTGACTAACTGACACCGAAAAGGTAAGAACGCAAAGAAATTATCGGCACAAAAATGTTTTTCATGCTTTGTTTCGTCGTCGTTGCAGAACTAGTTAAAATGTAGATATAGATGAGTTTGCTCTTTAGCTGCTCCCTACGCAGCTAACGAATGTATTTATGTGCTAGAGTCATGTTAGCTTGGCCAGTGATTTGAAGCATAGCAATTGTTAGCGCAACCTGCTAGGTAATCTTCCGAATCGTCGGTCGTAACATTCCCTGTTGTTCTCCCGTTGCATAAATTGAAATGTTTTCGTTTATTTAATGTAAATTTATACGGCCAGGCGGTATTTTATGTCAATGGCCGTTTGACGATTTAGCTTGCCACGTTAGCAATGGTTATGCAACACAATGGCTTTCAACTGTTGTAAACGGCTAATATGCTAACCGGACAAGGGGGGTGCGTGATTTCCGTTGTGTTTTACAGTTTGAAACCTATTAATGTGTTTGGTTTATTTAGGCAGAAATCGTCGCACATTTCATCATACAATGATTCAGTTTAAGTGATGCCGCTAAAAAGTTTGAGCAGGTAAACAAAGACATAAGCGTTTCCTTTGTACGTTAATGACCCGACTCTGGGCCGCGCTTCTCGTCGGTGGTTTTTACCCTTCATACCGGTTTGATATCGTGTCGTTTAGGCTAGTAAATGGCTAGCATTCGATTTTGTTGTTTTTGTTTAGATACTAACTACTAATTACTTAAAATGTATGTTTATATTATTCTCGTTTCAACACCGTGGGTGGACATGTTTATCTCCATGTAAACGTATCGTGGGAGTAGCAACAACAGGTGGGCTTTGTTTGACCTCGCTGTGTTTGGGGGAGGTGACTGTGGTCATTGTTGACCAGATGGATGTCTGTAAATGAACTTGCCTTTGTATGTGTACTTATTAGATAAACACAATGGCTGAGAATGATGTTGACCACGAGCTGCTCGACTACGAAGAAGATGAGGAGCCACAAGGAGCCCCAGAGAGTGCTGCCCCTGCAGGTAAAAAGGAGGTGAAGGGTTCCTACGTGTCCATCCACAGCTCTGGCTTCAGGGACTTCCTGCTCAAACCAGAGCTGCTCCGTGCCATCATCGACTGTGGTTTTGAGCATCCATCTGAAGGTAAGACGGTCTCCGTCAGTCTCTGCCCATCTGGGTTGTCTGTTGGAGTCATTGGTCTGTGCAATGGTTACTTATGCGCTCTGTCTTTTTCTCTACAGTCCAGCACGAGTGTATCCCCCAGGCTATCCTGGGCATGGACATCTTGTGTCAAGCTAAGTCTGGTATGGGCAAGACCGCTGTTTTTGTGTTGGCAACCCTGCAGCAGATTGAGCCTGTGGACGGACAGGTTAGTTGTTGTTTTTATATTTTACAATGTGAATCACACGAAACCCTGTGGTTCGTAATGTAGTCGTGTATTGTTTTGCGTACAAGTCCTAGGAGAACGCCACATGTTTGGATGATGTAAACACAGTTTGGTGTTGTTTTTTAAAGGCTTGTCTTTTTCTCCAGGTGTCTGTTTTGGTCATGTGTCACACACGAGAGCTGGCCTTCCAGATCAGCAAGGAGTACGAGCGGTTCTCCAAGTACATGCCCACAGTGAAGGCAGCGGTGTTCTTTGGTGGCCTGGCCATCAAGAACGACGAAGAAGTCTTGAGGAAGAACTGCCCTCACATTGTTGTCGGAACGCCAGGTCGCATCCTCGCTCTCATCCGCAGCAAGACCCTGAGTCTAAAGAACGTGAAGCATTTTGTTCTGGATGAATGTGACAAAATGCTGGAACAGCTAGGTGTGTGTTGTCTTCACCTGTGACCAACGCACGTTTCCCACGGTGTTTGTTTTAAATCATTCGTCTGTTCACTCTCCTCTGGGGCAGACATGAGAGGTGACGTGCAGGACATCTTCAGGATCACGCCCCATGAGAAGCAGGTCATGATGTTTAGTGCCACTCTGAGTAAGGAGATTCGACCAGTGTGCCGCAAGTTCATGCAGGATGTAAGTGTGTACTTTAAAGCAGTACTGTTTGTAGTTGTAGTATTTACTGGAACGCTGCTCACACACTGCACTTTATTTTCTGCAGCCCATGGAGGTGTTTGTGGATGATGAGACCAAGCTGACGCTTCATGGTCTGCAGCAGTACTACTGCAAGCTGAAGGACAGTGAGAAGAACCGCAAGCTCTTTGACCTCCTGGATGTGTTGGAGTTCAACCAGGTACGAGATGGTGGTTCAGGTTCTGGACGTCTCGAACCTGTCATTGTAGAGTTGTGACGTGGTTTCCCCTGACCTTCCTCCAGGCCTTCAGCCTCATCTTCACTCACGACTTCTATTAAAGCTACACTTCTCTTCTTTGCCTCTAGGTGGTGATCTTTGTCAAGTCAGTGCAGCGGTGCATGGCGCTGTCCCAGCTTCTGGTGGAACAGAACTTCCCTGCCATCGCCATCCACAGGGGAATGGCTCAGGAGGAGAGGTGACCAGGACACACACACACACACACACACACACACGGACAGAGAGGTGGATCTGAGAAGTGTTCCCAGCAGCTGTGTTAATGTCCTCCTCTCTGACCCCCCCCCAGACTGTCTCGCTATCAGCAGTTCAAGGACTTCCAGCGGCGGATCTTGGTGGCCACCAACCTGTTTGGCAGAGGGATGGACATCGAGCGGGTCAACATCGTCTTCAACTACGACATGCCTGAGAATTCTGACACCTACTTACACAGGGTGAGAGATTCCAGGGACATTTGAGGAATCTTTAGGAACTTCCATCATCATGTTCTGACCCGTGTTAAATGTGTTCTGAACTGTTTACCCGTCAGGTGGCCCGGGCTGGTAGGTTTGGAACCAAAGGTCTGGCCATAACCTTTGTGTCCGACGAGACCGACGCCAAGACTCTGAACGACGTTCAGGACCGCTTTGAGGTGAATGTGGCCGAGCTACCAGAAGAGATTGACATCTCCTCTTACAGTGAGTCCTCACACACACACACACACACCAAATCAACGACAGCTCTGATACCAGGCTGTTGAGGTTTGATTGACAGCCATATCAGCTGCTGCTGCTGCTGCTCTCATGTACAACGTTAGCACTGTTCAAGTTGTTCAGCTCAGCTGGGGCTCCCCTGTCGTCCCCTCTGCCCCTCCCCCCCCCCTCTGCTCTGCCCTCCCCCAGTCGAACAGTCCAGATGAGTCGTCCAGCCCACCTGAAGTCACGTCTCCATGGATCCTGCGTCTTGTATTTGGAATTAGAGTACTTCACTGTTGATTTAAAAGCTCTGTGCGTTATTTTTTTTATTGTCAGTGTTCTTGTGGGGGGGTCGCGGGTGTGATTGATTTTTAATTTGTCTTTTACTCTTTGTTTTATGCTCGAATTAAACCTTTTTATAAAATCCCATTTTTGCGGTGGTGCTCTCTGTGAGGCTCTGTCGTCCAGACATCGACGTAGGTTTGAACCCTGACCTTTTGACTTTGACCCCTGTCGTAGTTTTTTATCTGTGACCAGCAGTTGATCTTTAGAGTCGCCTCAAACCAAGTAGTGACTCAGACCGCAGGTCTCTGCGTGTGGATGGTTGGTGGAACACGTTCAGATTTTTAATATGGCTGTAATTATTGGCACACTGTCTGATGAAGTTGTATCTGTTATTTTGTCTTTGTTAGATATTAAAACACATTTCAGACTAACGACGGCCAAATGTCATTTATTATATATCGTTATTTATCTATATATACATATTTATATTCTGTTCTGGTCATCAGTTTATTCTGAATGTGTTATGACTAAAAGTATCCGTTGGTTTTGATGAATGCACTCTGTGGTTCTGACTGAAGCCCAGTTCTACTGGAGCAGACACATCCATGGTCCATGGACGGATGTGTTCAAACTAATCTGGTCTGGTGTGTCGTCAGAGGATGACGGTGGTGTGAACGTAAGGTTGACGGTGGTGTAAACGTTGGTTCTGTGATTTCACAATGTAGTAAAAGAGTTTTTGGGTTTTTTTTGTTTTTTTTGGCTCAAATGCAGTCGTTTTTTGGTTTTTGGTTTTTTTTTTTGGTTTTTTTGGCTCAAATGCAGTCGTTTTTTAATGGGGATTTGCAGAGAATGGAATCGATTCTGTTTGAACCCACTGTTTTAAACACTGGCTATTTGCTCCCTCTAGCGGTAGGTAGGGGAATCTTTCTGTTGGCAGTGTATTGACAATACTTTAAATAAAAACGTCAGAGGAACAATGTGAACAGGAGTCCCTGCAGAGAGCATTCTGGGTAAAAAAAGACCTGAAGTCATGAAGTATGTAAGGTGTGTTGTTGTTTAGTGTCCAGGTCACTGGAGGACTTGAACCAATCAGAGAAGAGTCGGAGGCCAAGCTCTGGGTCTGGTCTGAATCTTTTAATATTGAACATTAAAGAGCAGGAGTTGATGATGAACGCTGGCTGTAACGCTCACCACCGCACGTACAGTCGTCAGAGGTTCAAACCCTGGCGCTGGACCATCTTTGGGATCTGAACCCTCACTTTGTTCTTATCTACAATAACTACATCGGCACACGTGGGTCCAAAGACCCGCCCCGTTACAGCAGGTAGAGCGACACAGAAGGTACCAGTGCGTCTGTACATCCAGTCTGTAGCTGCTCCACGACGTCCGTAACATCTAAACTTCCCATAATCCCACAGCATCTACAAAAGCAACAACTGGTTTGACGACAACAACAGTGACGTTTACAACAAATGGAGACTAAAACTTAGAGACGGTAGAAAAACTCGGAGGCGTTCAATGGTTCCATCGACCGAGTCTCCACTCAGAGAGTTCTACAGGCCGCGGCCATGAGTCAGGGCTGCCGTAAGGTGTGTCAACTGGAACCACCCAACAGTGACGTTGGTGCTTGGGTTCTTCAGGGAAAGTACACAGTCTCCTGCATGCACCTCCATTCTTCTCCTGTAGCCTTTATTGTACTTGTTTTGTGCGACTGTGACCACCAGGGGGGGCCAAGCCTGGTATCTGTGGAGAGGAGTCTTTCTCTCAGTCTGACGGCTGACAGCTCTCGGCTGTTCAACTCCACGTCCGTGTCAGTAATAAATACCCAGGAAAAAAAACACCATAAAGGGAGAATAAAGCATGGTCAGAACGTGATCCTCCATCTTTGTGGTCGCTCTCTTGTCTGTCAGTCGTCGGTCAGCTGACCAGAGGTCAGGTGAGCAGCTCCACATGGTCCACGGCTGGACTTTGAGGCGTCTGTGTTTGTCTCACAAAAGTCCAAGTTGACAAACATCTGATGGACGACGTGTCGTCTGTTTCCGTCCGTCCACAGTAGCGTGGCGGAGCAGGAACCGCTGCTGGTCTTCAGGTCCAACAGCCGTCCTTCTCCTCATCCGACAACCCAGTTCATGTTGATGGTGATCCGTGCACCTTTCTACACTAGGGACAGCTACTCTAGTCTACGGGGGAGTCAAAGTCTGAATGTAGGCGGGGGTGAGGACGCCGCTAGTCCATGAACTTGTGCGTGTCTCCGTAGAGCCACCGCTGCGGCGGCATGGCGGCCTCGTTCAGGTGGTTGCACCGGTCGCTGCATTTGCAGGATTGGATGAACATGACAGACCTGTTGAAACGTTCGCCGTCGGGGCAGGCGAAGGTCACGCTGGCCGTGCGTGTGCGACGGGGCGAGCAGCAGCGGCGGTCCCTGCAGACGCCACAGTAGTTGGGCCGGTACAGACGTGTGCTCCTGCAGCCGGCGTAGGACAGACGCTGCGGCTCCGGGGCCTTGTGGGTGCGGGAGCACTTCCTGCCTCTCTGTGGGGGGGCAACAGAAGAGACATGACCACGATGAGGACAACAACAACAACAACAACGACAACAACAACAACAACGACCCTGATGACTGAACCGTGGGCTGCAGAGCTAAAGTTGGGGCAGTTAAGTATAGAGAGGGTGGAAAGGTCAGAAAAACAGATGAGGGCAGAGAGAGAGAGGGCAGTAACAGGTAGGGTTTGAGACTGGAGCACATGAACAGTGGGGGTGTGGGGGGGGGGTCTATTTCTGTGGACAACAGTTCTACTGTACGACTGGAGACAACGGTCGGACCAGTGAAGTTCTGGAGTCGTCTGACCCTGAAGTAAACAGTAAACAACGGCCACAGCAGCTGTGGGGGGGCCGGGGGGGGGGTCTGTACATGTGCCAAGATAATAATACCCTCCACCCCCTCACCCCCCCTCACCTTGGTGGGGGCCGACATGGAGCTGCAGGGCCGGACGTTGCACAGACGCGTCTCCTTCATCATCTTACAGCGGCCGTTATCATTGGTAACACGAGAGGACACGCCCATCCCGCAGCTCCGAGAACACTGCGACCAGGAAGTAGTTTGGACCACGCACTGGTCTCCCATCTTACTCCAGGCTACGGGGGAGAGAAGAGGGGGGAGATACAATGTGTGAGAAAAGAGCGTTAATCTGCGACGCATTCGAATTTAGAGTCGGAGCAGAACCATCGGCGAGAGAGCCAACGGGAGAGAGGGTGGCACCGGGCGAGAGAGCGGAGAAGCAGAGGTGCAGCACACAGGCCTCATTCAGTCAGGGGGCAACAGTGACGCACAGAGAGGTGATTACAGGGGGGAGAGCTGGGTGAGGGAGAGAACCTCTGGTGTGCAAGGAGCCAGTGGAAAACAAGCCTCACACACACACACACACACACACACACACACACTGAGGGCTGTCTGTGTGTTCACAGGCTAAACTGGTTAAAACATAAACATGATGCTTTACTGCGCGGCGGAAACAGACGGCGCTCTGAGGCGACATGGCGGCAGCCGCTCTTACCCGCCAGCCGCTTGTTTCCACGTGGCTCGTCCCACTTGCCCCCCTCCTCCACCAGCTCGTTCCCCATGGAGTTCTTCTCCTTTTTGAGTTTTTTGGGGTATAACTTCCTGTGTTGTTTGGGGTAAGGGAGGGGCAGGTAGGGAGTAAAGGGGTGAGGTGGGTGGGCCGGGGGTGGGGGTCGTCCGTGGGCCGGGGGCACCGCCGCGGATCCTTTGCGGCAGTCGATGCTGAGGCAGCACTGGCCCGGCGCCTTGACTAGTCTGGGTGCGGGGCAGGAAGGAGACGCCAGGGGCAGATGGCTGGGGCAGAGGGGCAGGCAGCCCACGGCTCCATCGATGCAGGTGCACTGGTGCTCACAGCCCGCACGGAAGTTCTCACCGCTCTGGTAGATTCGCCCGTTGTATTCGCAGGAGCGTCCCTCAGCCTTCGCTGTTGGGGGGGAGGAAAAAAAAAACAAACAAAAGAAATAATTAACGGTCGTCAAGAACGAAGGAGAGCAGGGGTCAGGGTCAGGGTCAGGGTCAGGGTCAGGGTCAGGGTCACTCTGAAGAACCAGCCTATTCTTAGAGCTGAGCAACACACGTTAGACATGGGATGAACAAAATGAGTTTCCCCCGATCCTGGCTCCAGTACACTGACAGAGAGAGAGAGAGAGAGAGAGAGAGAGAGAGAGAGAGAGAGAGAGGAGACAAGAACAACGACAGAACAAGAAACAACAGCCAGGGCAACGAGAGCGATGAATGTGGGGACAGCAGTTGTGAGGCCATGAGCAGGACCACAACTGCTGTCCCCACATTCAGACTTGTTGACCGTGTCCTTCACTGGACCCCCCTCCCCATATAGAAACACCACATATAAAAATACTTGTGTGTGTGTGTGTGTGTGTGTGTGTGTGTGTACACACTGGACTCCTTATATAAACCCTGGACTTGGCCGACTGTGAGTCCAGATCATGAAGCTCCTCTGTTTCCAAACCTTTAAACCTCAGAACTCTATCAAAGAGAGACTCCAGTCCC